TATTCAACCTACTTTTGGCATGAACGATTTTCGATGGGCGATTTATGTCTCGTAATCTATCGCTGCTATGCAAGGTGGCAAAAGCCGCAGTCTCATTTTATTACCACTTAGCCGGCTTCAAAAAATTTTTGTTTGGTTTTTTTTACAAATGCAAATATAATTGCTTCATTTTGCAGCGTATAGCAAAACTTTACATACGGAAATGAAGTTAAGCTCTTGCTGTGACATTTGAAATGCTTGTTAGGGAAACGAAATGTCTCAACTTCTATTGCAAAACTTTAAATTCGGTTTATTTCCTAAAATAACAGCTCAGTTTGCAGTTGCTATATTATTTTCATTTGAAAATGGAGTTCGTGTCGATTCCAGAGAAATGCGCCAATGCGAACCTCGTTAAGATATTGAAAACCGTTTTGAACTTATATTTATATTTTGTATTTCGTGCTAAGAAAGAACAGTATTTGAAAACCGCAATCGATTGGCCGGTTATTCATTAAAGTGCGTTGTAATCTCTTCTTCTACGTTCGAAGATTCAAAAGCAAGGATCGATGGTTTATTTGCGTAAAAAACGGCGATTCAGATTATTTCCTACTCTAGTGGCTTTGAGAACAGCAATTTTACTATAAATTTTACTAAAATAGCTAAATATTTAACACATTATTCAAATACATAAAGTAAGATGAATATACAGTGTGTCTCCTTCGGTTTGCGACATATACGTTATATGACGAAATACGATATTGAAGAAAACGTTATTCATGTTTTGAATATACTTTCATATTTGGAAGGGAGATTCAATTTATTACGTATTGCTACTGATGTGTATCTGCTTATAGGGACCCAAAAACACTTGCAAACCTTACAATTCAATTCTAACATTCAAAATACATTATAGTTTGAGAACTTCATTCTTTGAACATGCAATAGTTACTTTGGCGTGGCATCACAAATGAACGCCATGAAGCATGTGAGCTCCCTTGGAAATGGAAAGATCATAATGCAACAATCTTCCTAAACATTTAATTTATTGTAAAAAATAATGTTCTTTCAAAATCTGTCAGCATGTCTTCGATTAATAAATCCCTTATATCTTTATATCCTTAATATGTGCAAGAGCAGAAAACTGATTGGTTCGATAGCCTTTTGTGCAGGAAATAATTATGTGTATGATCTGTTATGTACAACTGCTCTATACCATGCACAGAAAAGTACTGGAAACATTAAATTATAAAAATGCATATCAAAAATTTAATTTCCTCCCAAATTCAAAGCAGTACGAATTAAACCCGTACACTTTTATGGAAGTAAATGCAATGTTTTCTCAATAGCCAAATGTTTCGCTTTCTTGAGTAATACAAACAGGAAGTTCTTCAAACGTAAAAAGCACAAAAATAGATTGCTGTCGCAAAGCTCAAAGGTATATGCACGTTTGTGCTGCAGAAAACAAACAGGGACTTTGTTCGTTCCCGATGAAAAATACAATTCATTTAACTTCAAGGCAGAAAAAGCAGGAAAAGAATAAAAGGTCCCAAACTTTCCCAATAAAACATTAAATTAAGATTTCAATTTTAGATACCTCGATCTAACGGTTTAATTTCAGTCAAATTAATTTCGCTCTTTGTATGCAAAATTATCACATTGCGATAAAAGGACACTTCGTATTTAACGCTATTGCTCTCAGGAGCAGTAAAAACTTTAATCCCAGGTATTAAAAAGTATTAAATTTGCCGTTTATGAGTTTGGATTGTTTTAATCACGTACAAATAACGTGGGTAATTGTATTTTAACTAATAACAGGTGTAAAGACTTAGTTAAATGTATTTAATGAAATGTAATGCAACTTAGAGTTTAAAATTTGGTGCATGTCGCGGGAAAAACAAAAGTTTGCTTCTTTTTAAAAGTAGGTAATTAAATTTTAGAGTAAGATTTTTTTTATATCTATGTGTTCTCGGATATATGGCCATTCTACATAATTGTCGATTCTGAAGAGATCCGAACCCACACTTTTTCAGAGAATGTCATAGTCAAAATCCTGAAAAAATTGGCTTAAATTTTCTTCAACAACATAATTCGACCATTTTTTACAATTCTTCCTAGACTAAAAGAGATTATTGAAGGTTTATGCAGCATTAAT